GTTACTAAGAGCATTAACGGTGAGAAGGTGGACAGCAAGGAGTCACATGTTGCTGTTGACAATCAGGCGCAAATATCAGGTGAAATTTCATAGAGACAGATATAAAGTGGTATTGTGTGTTTTGACAAATCCAAGCTTTACTAGTATAATTGTGGGCTTCAAGGTAGCTTTCTACAGTCAAGAACAAGAGGAAAATATGAGCTCAGTAACAGTCAAGAATAGAAAAATAAAAAAACCCCAAGGCTAGTAGTTACTGGGAAAGGAAAAGAGAACATAATATCATTATGCAGCTACAAGAGTAATGTTTTTTTCTGCAACTTAGATGCTATATATAGTTTGGACCTTATTTCAAAATCAGAAAATTGCAGGAAAGGATGCTTAAGAAGGCTGAGCAAAGGTGATGGAACTGATACCTGAGGGACAGTGGAATAGACAAAAAATTCTAGTCCGCAAAAGAGAAGGAAATATGAATGGACTGAAGAAAGTGAACAGGAACTGATTGGTCATATATCAGACATGATATGTAGCATGCACTTGTGTTTTGGCATTCTTTGCCACAGGACTTGGTGATTTACCAAAAAGCTTAGGATTGCAGAAAGATTTAGGAAAACAGGTGAACGCAAATCCATTAACACCTATGTGGGCATGAAATCACTGAAAGTTGGAAGTGTGTTCTGGAGAGATACTGCTATATGCTTGCTCTCCTATGCTCTTAGACATCTGCTGTTGGTCATTCCTGGTGACAGACTAGTTACTGTGATGGACCTCTCTGTGGTCATGCTGTGTTTCTTTTCAGAGTGGAACTTCAAGTCTCAGTTTTGACAGTGCATTGAGTCTGTGCCTAGAAAGTCAAAGGTCCTGGGTGATTAAAAACTCAAAACATATTCCAGTTTCCCTGATGTGCTGGCTTCTTCCTCTTTTTCTGCCATAAGTGGCTTGTATGATTTGGACAAAAATATTTAAATCTCTTTTCATCTGTACTATCTGCTCTTTCTAATGCAGTAGAAATGAAAGTGCTTAAACTTGCTTTATTTGTATGTGATCATTGAGTGTTTGGAAGTCCTTGACTCTGAGCTATTGTTTGAGTATGAATTGTGGTGGTTTAATACCTAACCATGGCAAAACTTCATAGCTTTAATTATTCTGAGTACTTAAATCATAATCACATATTGTATTTCGTTTATCAACAAATACAATAGCATGAGGTATTACCCTCCATAAATCTTAAAGCATCCAGGGTGTGGGAGACAGCTTAGACTAATCACTCACTAGACAATAATCACTCTAGTCATAAAACAAAATTTAAATTCTTTCAGTGATTGTCTAATTCAAGAAGTTTGGGAAGTGCAATATAAAGTATGCCTTTCATTTTAGCTGCAGAGGAGATACAGCATTTGCAGGGCAATGAGATATTTGTGATGTTAACAATCTAAATGATTTTTATTGATAATGACAGATGGTTCTTAGATAATGTGCTCTGAGTTGTCTGTAATATGTTCAGAATAAGTCTTCTGGAAGGTTGTACATCTGTCTTGAGATCTTTTGCTAAAATATTTAAATCAAGGTCATTGTTTATACTTGATTTTAAATAGGTTTTAGCTGGTAGTCTGCATTTCTGTACATTTAGAGATCAAACTGTTTGTAACTCCAAAAGCTACAAATGGAAAAGTATAATAGGTAGCAGGTGTTAGAAAAGGCAATTATGCATTAGCTGTTTTACTCAATTTCTAAAACTGTCTAAAACTATCCATTGGAAATACTTTGTACCTTGACTTATCTCTGAAGCATGATGAATTTTTAAATCTGTAGGGGATATGCATTTTTTCTCTAATGAATTGCATATTTAAGCCTATTTGGTTTCATTTTAAAAGGCTGAAGAATATTACGTGTGTGGGAAAAAAAAGTTGAACAGAAAAATCACAAGACAAAGTACTTGTTCTTATATACTTCCAGATAATTTTTCTGTAATTCCTTAGAAAAATTTTCAATTTCCAGAATTGCAGTTCTGAGCATTTTTGCTTTTATTTTTTTTTTAAAGCTTTTTATCTTATGGGACAATTTTCTTTATTAAGTGATAATAGAATGAATTCTTAGGTTTAAAATCTTAGGTTATTATCAGAAAAAGAAAGTACTTTGGTCTAATTTGACTACCTATGCAATATGGTTTTGTGAGTCACTATGAGAGAGCAAAATAAACAATTTTACCAACAGCTACTGTAAAGTGACTTTCAAAGTTGAAATGCTGCTTTCAAATATATTTATTTAAACCTGTCTCCTTCTCCCGTGTGCTTTTCAAGAAATTATATAACGTTGGAGGGGTGAGGAGGTGTAAGGAGAATTTGTATATATTAATACCAAACCAAGTTCCTTTTAGTTCTCTCTTTCTTGCTTATATCATGTAATTAAAGTAGTCTATACCTTCATTATATTTAGGTAGGGTAACATATAATCCAATGTATCAAATATCCTGATTAACAATTCTTACTTGAAATTAAATTTTTCTACCTACAGGCTATTTGGTCTTTCTACTTCTTCATCTGCAAAAATGGTCTTACTTTTTCTTATCTATCCCCTGCAGTAATTCTGTACTTCAATTTATGTGTTCAGCAGTCTCAATCCAGCTTTGTTTGGCTTCATCCCACAAACATCGTTTCTCCTCTTCCCTGCTTTCCTGTTTGATTGCAAATGCTGAGGCTGGTGCCATGTGTTTCAGTTACACATTCTTTGAAGTGAATCTGTATTTCACACAGATCATAGTTCATTACGCAATGGTGACCTGGGCTGGTTCTTGCTATGTCAGAAAATCTTCATTGGTGACACACTTCAGAGTGGCTTCTGGGAAATGTGTTGATGTTTTCTTGTACAGATTGTGGACTTAATCTTAAATACAGTCTGTTTTCGTTGGACATTTCTTCCCTGTTTCCTTCCAAAATTAAAGAAAGGTGGTCACTTATGAGATTATGTTGTATATCCAAAATAATATGATCATGTATATTTAAAGGAATTCTTTAAAATTCATGTTAAAAGTGAGAAAGAGGTTGCAGTTCAGGCTGAGAAAAAATAGACTGAAAGTACTGTTTTTAGACTTAATTTTAAAAATTTTAAAATATTTTTCTAATTTTAAAGATGAAAGCTTATAAAATATTATCAAAGGCTGAATTTAAAAGAAATACTTCCTGTTCTGTGAATTTATTTACACAATATGGTAGGAGGAGGTTTGTTTTCTTAGAATTAGCTCCTTGTATTTTTCAGAGTTGTGTTTGTTTATTTAAATATTGTCACGTTAGTGTCTGGTATGATCAGCGGAAGCAGCACTTGGCTTACAAGTATGTCTTCTTGAGATACTATTTTATGCTTTTATATACGTTAACTTTCCATCCCAGGAGAAATGTCAAAACTGAAGTAAAAAACATGAATTTTTCAGTAGAATGGTACTGAGTACATGATTCTGTAAAATGCTAACTTTGATATTGTAAATTGGACTTTACCTTGATTTTTCTGGTTAAGACAAACTCTAGAGAGAAGTTTAGTTAAAATTACCATATGCTTTCTCTCTCCTGGGATTTTACAATGTTATTTGAGTGTTTTCCTAGAGAAGGAAATATATCACAGGATTTTATAATCCAAACATATCTTCTCTGCTTCCAAAATTAGCTAATTCTTATTTTCAGTTCCAAATACACTTTTAAACTTAAATCTTCCCTCCAAATATTTGGCGTTATTTCTTTTCTTAATTACCAATTTGGTGGACAAGATGATCTGTAATTTCTATAGCTGTTAACAAGGTGTTTGTACAAACCTCTTGTACTCTTTTATCCACTTTTAACCCCCACTGTGCTCTTTTATCAGGTAAGGGTAGAGGAGAAGGGAAAGTAGCAGAAGAATACTTTTCCTTTCCCCCTTATGATAGCAGTGAAGTTTTTGCACATATTTTCAATACTATGTTCTTCTTGGTTAAATACTAATAAACCAGATATTTTATAGATGTTATGCTTTACACAAGAAGTTGTTTCAGTTCACTATACTTGATCAGAATACTGTATTTTTCTAAAGAGTAAACTGCATTTTTGAAATACCAGCAGAGAATATGAAAAAACTAGCTCTATTTTAAAAGTGCTAGATCTTGTAAATTATAAAGATATCAGCATTTAGATATCTCTACATTTGCCAGATTATTTAGTTTAATTTGGTAATTAATATTTCTAAAATTTTAAATGAGATTTTACATAGCACTGGTTCAGTCATCACATTGATAATTAAATATCATAATTATTTTTTTCAATTCTCAGTGGTATAGAAAATAAAAGCTAAGATTAATTTGGTAGTATGAGAAAACTTAGTGATGACTTTTAAAAATAGGATCACAAATATTTCTGAACTCTTAGGTATACTTATAAAATACTAATTTCTAGAGGGAATTTTATAAAGTGACAGATTCTGCTGACTGGAACTAGAACAGAAGGCTGCAGATCTGAATGCAAAACTAAATTGTAAATGTTTCATGTTACAATGAGGATATGTTTTCCTTTAGTGAAAACTTCTAATTCAGTTGAATATAGAACAAATTGTTTATTTTTAAAATACTTAATAATTTCCTGTAGCAGAAGTTATACTTCAAAAGCTACCAGTAGTAGTAGAGTTTACTTCTAATAATGCAGATGAAACGTTATGTTCATGTCACAACGCTGAGCTGGACAGTACAGTATTTCATGCTATATATAAGGTAATGGGTAACACTAGAAGTGGAAAACACATCAGTAAAGAATGAATTTAAATGTGAGAAATGGATGTATACCTCACCTCCATCCCTGTTACAGATAATAGCTATGAATAGATTTGGCATAGATGAAATACAAGCATATTTGTGATACACAGAGAGACAGATGTACCTGACATTTGTAGTTAGTAGTGAATGTCATAAAAATACCCTTGGAGTATATGGTGATCATAAGTATTATTATTTGTGTATTGAAAGGGTGATATATTCTTATTTTTTCTAGTCTGAACCAGAGGGTTTTTCTCACTTCCATTTGTACGTCTGTGCTGCCTTCCTTGTCAGGTGGAGGAAAGAGATCCTGGAAGAGAAAGATTTTCAGGTAAGTGAGGGGAATAGTTTTTCATGCACGGGGGGGTATTTCTTAGATTTACCTTCCTAGCATTACTTGGGAATGAATTTAAGACAAATAGTAGCAATTGCAGCAGGACTGACAATGTCTTGGTGTTAGTTAGAGTTGCTCCAAAACTGTTAGGCCTGAAGTGATGTACTATAAGCAGTAGAAGATATATTTTCTTTGTCCACACTGGGGGGAAAAAAAGTCTTGTTTTAACTGAGGCAGACTTTGAGAAGGTGATTTCTGGAGGTGCTGTTACCTTGGTATTTCACAAAGAGATTTTCTGAAAAGGTAACTGTATTTTTTTTAATCTTAAATGCATCACTGAAGTATTTATTTAAAATTTCTCATCTATGTAATATAACAACTTTCTATAACAAGGTAATTTTCATTATTTAAAAAAAACTGGGCAAGCAGTCTCTTAAAATAAGGAGACTGGTTTCCAGTAGGAAGTAAAAGGACTTCAGGCCTCTACACTTCAAAACCCTACATTTTCCAGCAAAGAGCATATCAGGAAGTTGTTTAGAAGAGGATTTGAATATGGTAGGTAGGCAAATCATTTGCATACATTTGTAGAAGTTCAGTTATTTTTATGAACTGGTGACTGTTCAGTTTCACAGAAATACTTGTATTGGATTTTACCCTATGATGATGCATTCAATGCCTGAAAGGCTTTGAAGTCTTGTTTGGAGGCTGAATGTAAACAACCCATGCTGTGAAGCCCCCAGCATTGCCTACCCTGGGGAAATGGCCTGTTATCAGTTTATTTCTCTCCATCTGACTGAACTCTGTGGCCCTGTAGAAATGAACCATTGTGCAAATTTGTGCATCACTTCAATCTAGTTTATCTTTCTTCATAAAATGATTTCTTCAGAGTACTTTAGTTGTTGTTGCCTATCTTTGCAATAAATTAATCCCTAAGGGTGCAACATAACAGCTTTAATTTATACTACCTGCTAACACTATCAGATTTTTTCAGTTTATGGTATTTTGTCAAAAACAACTTTAATGTTGATATCCATGCCTCTCAACTACAGTTGTTCACTGTTAATCCTTCCTATTAGATTTTTCCTGTTGTTTTCCTGCACCAAAAAGTATAATTTTCTCCTTGCTACTGAATCTGTTTCAACTGTGTTTTAAGTAAATAATCCCAAGGTATAGTGCTATGAAGATTTGTTTTGTTCTCCTTACATGCACTCAGATTTCTTTACTTATTTAATAATTATGTTATTTCTTTATGGTTTAATTTCTTTATAGGGTGTGTAAACTAGACTCTAAAGTATAAAAATCAGGAACACACTTAGAATACATTTATCAGACTGCTTTAGCTTGCTTACAATGTAGAAATGCAATTAGTAATTTTGAGGATCTGTAGACCAGTGCTAGTTTTATCACTATCATATGTTATCACTAAACAGCTTGGCCTCCTTTATTGTGTAACATGACCTTTTAAAATGACTAAACTAAAGTGTTATCAATTCTCTAAATGATACTTCTGTCCCACAGGCAAGAATAAAATCCATTATTCTTCTGCTTCATTAATAATAGCTGTAGATCATTGCTTAGTCTTCAGAGTAGTAGCTGAAGTAATAAGCACTTAAACTACATTGGAAAATTGGGAAGTTCAGTGTATACTGTTGGAGTACTGTAATTGCACTGAATTCACATTATTGAGAAGTCATAGCTATAGTACATTTTGTACAGAAGTTTTTTGTACCGTAAACTGCATCAAGAATCACATGCATCCAGTAATTTGTCTTGCATATTGTGTGGGTTGTATTTGTTTCTCTGCATATGATAGGAATAAAGGAGGTCTCTCCTAATTGTCAGTCAGAGGGCCTGGTTCTTTACTACTAGCTGTGAAAACTCCTGCTCTTCTTTTACATGTCTATTTGACCTCTTTCAGTAGAATTACAAACCTCACAGGAATTTTAAGTCAGAATAATTTCCCCAGAACATCAGGTGTGGCGATATGCTGGATGAGACACTGATCAGGTTTTGAATCAAAGACAAGTTTTAAAGGACTTGGTTATGCAATACTTTTATTGCTATTATTTGATGAAGTATAATATCAGTAATGTTACAGACAGGACAGTGATAGAAACTAGTATTTGGAAACAATTATTTTAAGAACATTCTCGTAAGTATGTCTTGCTACACGTAAGCGATCAGTACAAGTATGAAATTTATTCTTCCTAATGAACAGATTATTGACTTATATACCAAATGTCCCTCAATAATAATAGTTCCTTATTACAGACACCATGTATATATCATTCTTGTTTTGGGGGCTCTTTTTGTGTATTGTTGTGTAGCAGAGAAAGAAATTCTGCAGTGAAAGAAGTTAGACTGACTGGACGCATACTATAGAGTGATACAACCTGAAAATTGCTTGATATTTGATTTGTATCTGTAGAATTATATATTAAGATGTCACCAGAAGTAAGTTTTGATGAGGGAAATAGAGGAAGAAATAAAGGTTCCAGCTCAGGCCCCAGATGTTCAAATGTTCATGTATGTATGATATATCTATATATTATAGATATACATGTATATACCTAAAGAGGTATATATATATAGACTTGCGACACAAGCATAGAAAACTGTGTGGATGCTCTGCCATATTTTTCATGTTTCAAATAACATAAAAAATAATTTTCTTACTGTAAGGTGATGAGTCGTGATAGAAGTTGACTTCTTTGAATAATTTGAACAAGTTATTGCTCTCACTGCCATCTATTTGGTTAAGTACAAGCTATCAGTGTAGATCTCATCTGAAACGTAGAAGTTGTCTCGCGTTTCTGGCTTATGAAAACTGGGACCTCTAGGCTTTTCAGGGAAGATTCCACACCACTTCTCCATTCCATGTCCTTATAAATTGTTCCTACCTGACTACTGTAAAATACAGTGGACAACAGAGAACAACCATGTCTCCAGTGCCCCAAGAGAAAACACCTGATTTTAGGAAGAGGGGGAGGGGGGAAATGTCAAATGATTTTGTTTTCCTAGGAGTTTATAATTGCTTGTATTTCCTGCTGCTTAATCAGTAGTCTTTCTAGTAGTAAGTTTTGATCCCATTTTGGAATTTGCTACTTAATGCAATGAGCTGTGTGGTCCCGTGCTATGTAATGAGGGCAAAAATTCTTACATGTAATTTTCAAATTCCCCAGTGTCACTTTTTGATAGCAGCAAAACTAAGCCCACATGTTTTTATGTAAACAGAGATTAATATTATTGAAAAGAATGAAGGTTTTTTAGTTTTCATTATGGCTTGTTATTCTCTCATAGTTCTCACTTCTAGTCTTCTTTACCTAGACAGTGTACCCTACAAACCCAGGTACAGAGAGCTAGTTTCGGTAGCTCTGTAGCTCCATTCGTACTTCACATTAGCAATTTATACTTCACATGTGTGGGAGAAGGGAACAAAATGTGCAGACAGTAAATGGAAGACCTTTTAATCTTGCCTCAGATTTTCCTTTGTAATTGATGTGATGTTTTATAGAATCAAACACGTCATTCTTGGTTTATGATGTTTCTGTTGATGGTATAAATGTTTGATGTTAATTTACTGGCTCCATATTAGTATCAGATTAAAAAAAAGAAAAAAAGCCAGAAGTTTAATATAGATAAAAATACAATTTTTTAATATGTGATAAAGTATGCTTTGTGAATTAAAAATGTGAAATTCATTTAGTTTTTACTAAGTAATAAACATGCAAGTAATGAAAACCTTTCTACTTTTATTTATTTGCCTACCTACAACCATAATTCCAAAATTCTCCTGAGTTCTTGAGAGATATGAATGGCTGATGCTGTTTAGTGGTAAAATATTCAAGCACAATTTTGAGCATATTTAGAATTAAAATATTAATAAAAAATATGGCTGTCGAGTTTAATGGTGTCATGTACAAGAGATTTGTAAGGATGCAGGACTTCAGGGACAGATCCAGCTCTCAAACTGAATATAAGCTAATATAATTATTATTAAATAAGTAAAATTTAGACTGATGCTGGTTTATCTGTTAGATTTAGTTCAGATTTCCAGTTTAAGTAAGTTATCATTTTGTTGTCATAGCTGAGCTGTAAAAATATATTCAGTATGTTGTAGTAAGGAATCTGTCTTTTCTTATTCATGATTCTAAGATACAGGCTTTTCTGTCTGTCTAACAGACATTTTCGCCCGTGCTGTCATCAACTCACATCTTTATTATTGCAGTGTCCTTTTCTTTGACAAATGCATTTTTACTTCAATTACATTCACCCAGACTGCAGAGAAGCTGTAAAGACCATTTTTCAGTCCACCATTTTTTCTTGCTTTCTTGCTTTGCATCTCCCTTAGCTCCCTTTCCTTTATTGCACTAAGGAAAACTTAGACGCTTTGTCTTTCAAGGCCTTTAATGGACTAATACTGACACCTTGCATGTCATCTCAGATTCGGCATTGAGATGCTGACTACCAGTTTATCAGCCAGTGCACTTGAGCTCTCAAAAAAAGTGTCTGTGCTGTCTCCCAGGTGACCACTTTCCTTAAATGGAGCACCTAATGCAGATACTCAGTTACTTTTCTTTAAATCCTTCTGTTAAGTTCTGGTTTCTTTGCAATGCCCAAAATAGATTTGGCATGTATACTTGAATCTGTTAATAGCACAGTCACACTGAATAGTTTTTTGTTGCTTCTTTTTACTTTTCTATGAATTTGTTGTCTCTTGTCTTATACTTGAGCCGTAAAATCTTCAGAATAGTAATGGTGCTTTATTCTGATTCATATAATATTTAAAATAATGATTGTTTATTTATTATTTTAGATAAGTACTAGGAAAGAAGCCTTATTGACCTCATTACCAAAGTGAATGCATGCACAATTGTGCATTATTAAAATTTAGATATATGCTAACAAGATGCTTAGAAGACCAATTCATAGTGCTGCGTATATAAGTAACAGGCTTTCATTTAAAAAGTTTAATATTAATATTCTTCCTAGCAATG